GGATGTTGCCAGGGTTGGAGGCTTTGAGCTATAGGGAGAGGCTGGATAGGCTGGGGCTATTTTCCTGGAGCATCAGAGGCCGAGGGGTGACCTTATAGAGGTTTATAAATCACGAAGAGCATGATTAGGTAGAACAGCCAAGGTCTTTTCCCCAGGGTGAGGGAGTCCAAAACTAGACAGCATAGGTTTAAGGTGAGGGGGGAGATATTTAAAAGGGACCTAAGGGGCAACTGTTTCACACAGTGGGTGGTGCATGTATGGAATGAGCTGCCAGAGGAACTGGTGAAAGCTGGTACAACTACAACATTTAAAAGACATCTGGATGGGTACATGAATAGGAAGGGTTCAGAGGGATATGTGCCAAATGCTGGCAAATGGAACTAGATTAATTTAGGATATCTGGTCAACATAAAAGAGTCGGGCCGAAGGTCTGTTTCCACGCTGTACATCTCTATGACTCCATAACTCACACAATCATGCATGTGAAACAAATGCAGTATACAACTGTGTGGAGTGCAAATACAGATCACAAGCAACCTTGACCATGTCACTGGTCACTGCAGACTGAAATTAGTCATCTCTTGTGAAGTAGACATAATCACAAATGACCATAAAAGTAGCACCCATGGGCCACAAAGCACAAAGCTATTGCAAAATCTCAATGGCTAAACAGGGACAAAGAACTGATTTTCTTTCATCCTGAACTGTAAGTATTTACCTACATACACTTATGCACTGATGCCTTTCCTGTGGGGCTGAGATGACAAGGTCTCAGTACTCACACAGCATTACAATCTCCTACTATCTCATTGTGACATGACTGCTGAAACATTAATCAGAATAATATTCTATGTTAAAGTTCCATGTAGAGGCATTCCATGGCCCTCCCTGACATAGTGTTCCACATCCCACTTTATGCAGCAGTATACTATACCATCAGTTGTGAGTGATGCGAACACTCACTGTTCACATTATTAATAAACTGTTCGGTTTCTTACACAGGTTGATTGCACGCGTGACTAGTAAATCCAGTCACAGCAGGGGTATCATTGGTAGTGTTGCTACCGCAGTGCAACTAAGTGCAGAGAAAATTGAGAAGAAACAGATGCACCAGGAAACCCATGACCAGTACCAACCTGCAGTCACTGCCAAATAGCCTCCACATGAATAGGTTGCAGCTGGAGATCTGCTTAGGATGCACAGAAGGTACAGGAGGGCCAGTGTCTATCATCCTCAATGTCATTTCCTGCAGCTGAGCGAGCTGCAGTGTCGGTGCAGGTCAAGGATGACCCAGGACACTGTCACAGAACTATACCAACTGAAGTGGGAACTGCGACCCGTAGAGTGTTGATGTAATGCAGCCCCTTCTTCCACTAAAGTCATGATGGAGCAGATGATTAACATCCTAAACATGATGTTCTAATACTCGGAACAGCTTGGGAGTGGAATTGGGGGGCAGGGGGTAGGAAGTCATACAATACACTCTGAATAGTGTGCTACATAATTCTAATATCTGCACAAGAGCAGGCTAAGAGAAGATGTAATTGAGGCTGAAGAGCAGCAGCAGTCTTTCAAGGCAGATTAAGAGGGTATTGAGCAGGAGAGACATCACCTACAGCATGATAAAGCGGTGCAGCATTGGGCACAACAAGCCAGACAATGCTTAATTGGTATACTGATCCAGATGAAAGCTAGGCATAGTGATCATTCATTGACAGTAAATTTGTTGTTGATCAAAAGCAACCAGTCTGTTTCTATTCAGAGGCAAAGGCAGCATCTGTCTGTTTGTTCATTGTTCCATTCTGTTGTTGCTAAATAACAGTGAATGTTTTAAACTGTCTGAAGGCTTTGCTGATATGATGGTCCCACATTGAACAATTATGAGAATTTGGGCTACACTGCGGGAAAAGAAAAAGTAGCAATGACTTTGATAGGGTTGTAAGATGGGATGGCACTGTGGCCAAGTAAACGGTCTGGATTGGATCCAAAATAGCAATAAATATGACTGTGCACTTGTGTGCGCAATGAAGTGTCAACTTTGTCACCTTCTCTGTGCCCTAAGTGGTGTTGGTTTATAGTAACTCTCCCACTACAAGTACAATGAAGGACAACTCTAGACTGCCAATGCTTCATCGGGTGCACTGCCAGGCTTCAAAACTGTCACCAGTACCAGGGATCCTGGAATGCTCCAGCAATGACACATATTTCTTTCCCACAGTAAGTGGGAGAATACGAGAGCAGCACCAAAACAGCACAGTGCACAAGTAGTGAGGTGAGTTTGGGACAGTAGTCGGCTTACGGATACCGACTTTAGATTCTGCCAGGGCCACTCAGCTCCTGACCTCAATACACTCCTGGTTCAAACATGGTTCACCGATGATTGCACAATGTTCATCTCCAATAACAGACAATCTAACAACCACCCCTTGATGTTCAATGGTGTTACCATCACTGAATCCCCTACTATCAACATCCTGGGGGGTTAGCATTGACCAGAAATTATACCTGACAAGCCAGATAAACACTGTGGCTACAACAGCAGGTCAGAGGCTAGGAATATTGCAGCAAATAACTCCTCGAAGTTGTCCACCATCTACAAGGCAAAAGCGGGAGTGTGTTGGAATACTCCTCACTTGCCTGGATAAGTGCAGCTCCAACAACACAGAGGAAGCTCGATACCATCCAGTACAAAGCAACTTGCTTGACTGGTACCACAACTACAAACATTCACTGCCACCACCATCGACGCTCAGTAGCTGCAGTGTGTACTATCTACAAAATGCACTGCAGAAATTCACCAATGATCGTTCGACAGCTCCTTCTAAATTCATGACCACTTCCACTGAGAAGGACAAGGGCAGCAGATACATGAGAACACCATCTGCAAGTTCCCCGCCAAATCACTCACTATCCTGATTCAGAAATATATCACTGTTCCTTCATTGTCACTGGATCAAAATCCTGGAATTACCTCCCTAAGGTACCTCCCTTAACCTACAATAAGCAGAGTGCAGTGGTTTAAGATAGCAGCTCATCACCATCTTTTTAAGGGCAACTAGGGACAGGCAATAAATGCTGAGTAGCAATGCCTGTGTCCCAGAAGCGAATAATGACAAAAAACTTGCTAGGCCTTGTGGACAGAAACCCTCCATCAAACCCAACAAAAATGACACTTAACTGATTTCTTCAATGATTCAGCACATGATCTTTTACTTTGTCGACCATCTACCGAAGAAGAAACAAGATAATCTTTTAGGATTTATTGTTGAGTTTAGAGTCAAAGCTTTTTATAGTTGATATTTTGTGAAAACAATTTGTCATATACTTGCACCAATGAAGGAGACTACTGAATCTATCATACATGTGCCAACTTAGCTCTTTGAAGGTATCCAGAGTCATACAGGAAACTGACCAGGTTTCCTAAACTGAACTAGTCCCATTTGCCCGCATTAATAAGTTCCATAGGCAACAACAGCTTCCTTTTAAAGTTTGTAGAAGCATCATAGAATCCCTACTGTGTGGAAGCAGGCCATTCGGACCATCAAGAACACACCGACCCTTTGAAGGGCATTCCAGTCATCCCTCTACCCTATCCCTGTAACCCTGCATTTCCCATGGCTAATCCACCTAGCCTGCACATCCCTGGACACTATGGGGAATTTAGCATGGCCAATCCACCTAACCTGCACAGCTTTGGACTGTGGGAAGAAATCAGAGCACCCAGGGGCAACCATGGACAGAAAGTGCAAACTCCACACAGACACAGTCGTCTGAGGTTGGAATTGAACCAGAGTCACTGGTGCTGTGAGGCAGCAGTGCTAACCACTATGGCACCATACTGCCCATGTATCCAATTTCCTTTTGAAAGTTACCATTGATTCAACTTCCATCACACCTTAAGTAATGCATTCCAGATCTTAATTCACTGCAAGCAGTTTCCCTCTAGTACTTCTGCCAATTAGTTAATATCTGTCCCCTCTGGTTAGAGATTTTCCTGTCTGTAGTATGCTTTTCCTTACTTACTGAATCAGAATTTTGAACGTTTATTAAATTGCTTTTAACCTTCCCTGTTCCAAGGACAGCAATCCCAGATTCTGTAATCTCCCACAAAACTGCAGTACCTTGTTACTAGTGATAATTTCCTTTGCACTCCACTTCCAAGGCCTTAGCTTCAGCAATTTAACAACTCCATTTCAGCTGCTGATCAGGCAAAACATCCACGAGAAGCACTGCATGTGGCTTATGACTGAAGCCATTAAACTTTTGTGTCTAAATCATTGATTCAACTTGTTTTTTTACAAAATGAGTTGTGGTGGACTCACTGATCTACCTTTTACATATGTCAGTGGAAATGATCATAAATGGAACAAGGTATGTAATAGACAGCCAATCTACTACTGCATGTTTTGCACTCTCAATGAAGTTGAATTCAATCCCAACAAGTGGCTGAAGGGCCTGCAGCAACATCTACCTGTCCCTAAACACAAAGTTGCACTAGTTCCTAGTTGGTTCCTAGCTTAAGTCAAGAAAGGTCAAGTGTAACGACAACAGATACATTTATGAGTCAATCTTTGATAAAGCCCACTTTTTGTAAGAAATAATTTTCCACAGGACTACATCACCGAAGTTCAGCAAATACCCAAATCGCTGCCAAATTTTATTTCACCTGAATCATTGAGAAAACCCTCACCTAACCAAACTTTAGCCACAAATTGTTATCTTGGACTGTAACATAGTACTGAAGGCTGTCAACAGAACTAGTCTATTCATGTTGATACTTGTAACCCAGACCACCACTTTAACTCACTTCTTGTAACCTTGGTCATACAAAGTAAACATCAACTACTACATCCAAATTACTATGCTAGTTTCTATTTCTACATTAAGAACTATACAAACATATCTTTATCATTTGGAATTTCTGAACAATCAGTACAGTCACACACTTATATGTTTCTTGTTAAAATGCCCAAAAAGGAACAACTGTAAAATAGAAATCTGATGAAATCAACAACTTTATTATAAAATCCCCTTTCATGACTTATCAATTAAATTGTGGATTTAGCGTCAGAACATTAAAACTGATATAACTTTTACACAATTAGAACAATATGCATTTAACACTAAACAATCTGATCATTACTAAAATGTCAGTTTGTACTCTGTTGTTTTTAAAGAGGAACTGGATAGGTTTATGAGCATATAAAGCATCTGCAAAAAACAAATTCCTCTAGCATTTGACTTTGTGACCCGTTATGTCTTGGAACACTTACCTACTCTAACTGTATCCAAACTTACAATTGTTGATACATGCACTAGGTGTTGCTTAGGAGCACTTTCAATTGATGGCCATCTAGGACTGTTATTGCAATGCATCACAGCTGGCATATTTCACATCCTCTACAGTTAGATACTATCCCTCAGTCTGGCTAAATGTGGTAAATCTACAGTGAAAAGCAATATCGATTCTGCAAATGGACACCTGATAAGGGCATCAGGGTGGTAATAATTACATACTTGAAAGTTCATGTGCATGGTGAAGATAATATGCTGGATTGTGATGCAGCGTAAAACATCACAGGAAGTAGTTAGCTGAAATCTCCATACAACAAATATCCAGACACAATATATATCTCAGATTTATTTCAGGACTCATGACATGCTAGTCCACTGCCAAGCTCAAACCAAACAGTTTTTACAGCTTTATTTTTCTAGCAGATTTAAATGTAGGGAAGACTGCGTCACAGAAGTCATGTGAAACTATTTAATGGAGGTACTGCAATAGGGCTATGTGGAATTGAAGACACAATCAAATCAGCCACGATCAAGCAGGCCCGGGGTTGTACAAAGTATGGTACATTGGAAAATTCCTTTTACTAACACAGTACAATATCTCATTGCAGCTAGGAATTACAGAACCCATATTATCACAACAGGTAGTGGTATATACAAAAGGAAGGCAGCACATCTCGACAAAAGATCTACCCCCATCCCCATGCTTCTAACACCCATACAATAATCTGATATGTTCTAAGGAGTCATTCTTGGCTCTCTCCTTTATGGCTTCTACATGCTGCCTCCATTCTACATACTGCCCCCAGTAGCATCATTCACAGGCATAGGGTTTACTTCTTACATGTGTATTAGAGATATTCGGCTCCAATGATTTCCGCAAACACAACCAGATGCCCTGAAACTCTCCAAAGCAGTAGCTTTTATTTCCCTTGCCATTGACTCTACTGTTCACCACACACCAGCCACTGACTAAAGTTGGCATAACCTGCAAACACTCTGGCATCATATTCAATCTAAGCTGAACTACAAACCCTCAAAATCCTTTCCACCCACTGAATTGTATTCCATTTCAAAAATAATCTTTTCTCTCCCCTGTTCACTGCATCCAGAACCCTTATCCATGTTTCTGCCAACTCTACATTCAATTTTGCCAGCTCTCCCCTGTCAGTCATCTATCTTTCTCTTTCCATAAACATTAATAGCATTTCTCCTGCCTGCACTGTCTCTTGGCAATCACCCCGGAGTTTACTGACCTACGCTGGCTTCTAACCACGCATTTAATCTTAAAACCTCATCCTGACATTGCACATGGCCTTGTCCTGTCTTATTTCTGCAAACCTCTCCAGTTTTATGTCCTCTACTGCACCCTTCAATCCACCAAATCTGGATTGTTGCCAAATTTCTCTTAGATCCACTAATAGTGACAGAGTATTTAGCCACTTCAGCGCTGCAAATTCCTGCTGTGAGTCTTTATCATCAATTCTATCTTTACATTAAAAGCCTCCCAATTACCTCACCAATATGTCTTTTTTTAAAAGCCTTTTATTAAGCACAATATATAAGCTGTTGTTGATGTTAATATGCTGGTATAGCAACTTGGTGAAATAACGTCAGGGTGCTAAAATGTTGCACCTAACCCCAAAGAATATTAATTCCACTCTGCAACTGTCCACATAACATATCTTCTAATTAGATAGATCTGCAGGGAAATCAATTTGCTTGAAGCCAATAACCTCCTTAAAGGGAGAGAAAGTTGCTTATTTATATCAGGAGTGTACATCAAGCTTAAGCACACCAATACGGTGGTGGCAGCCGCCAAGGTTCACAAATGCACAGTCTGGATACTTGCTGATTTATCAAATAGTGCACTCATAGGGAAAGAACATAAAACTTGCAAATTATGAATAAAGCAAACACTTCAATTTTGACATGATGATTTCAATGGTGCATATTATTTATAAACGTCCTGAAAATTTAGAACCGGACTGGTGTTTTTTATTCCCTTTAAGTGGAATGTGTTTCTGGATCCATGGTATAAAGAAGCTTTAATAGTCAATGATGGCAAATCATTTCTGAATTGACAAATGATAGGTGCTGCAGTTCTTCTGTACAAGTAAGCACATACAGTTATAACTCTATGGTGGACAGGCACTGTGTGCCCCAACAGCCATGTGGAGCCAGTAATCTTGGTTACTGAAGAGAACAAAATTGTAGAGGTTCTCTCCCCCCTTGTAGTATCCATGTTCATTTTCTCCCCAGGAAACTGGGCTGTCTGCAAAGCCGTGTACAGTCATACTAACCCAGTGGGCCAACTTGGGTTCCTCAAAATAGAGTCTGGAGAGAAAGGAGAAGTAATTGATAAATGTTGCTTATACTTGGTATCAGACCGTAACAGCAAATACAGTGCAGCCATGAACAATTATCATTTTGAACATGACAAAGACTACTTACACAAGTAGTCAAGCGTCAGAAGGTTGACAATGCTCATTTACCAATCACTATTTACTTTGGAACAATGAAAGTTACTACTACTTCCTGATAAAATTAATAAAATCTATCCAATAAAATTTGAAATTCAATTTAAAAGGTGGGTCACAAGTATTTAAAACAATTCTAAAAGAGTTGTACTACTTAGTTTAGTGGTGAATCACATTACAAAGAATAGGGATACTAATGATCTAAATATAAAACTTCAATGAATAAAAGCTATTGTTTGATGTCAAAATAAGAACATTTATGTAAAAGTCAAGTATCCTTGTACTTTTATTACATTGTGAAATTATTTTTAGGAACTGTATTTTGAGCTGTTACCAAATGTGGTAAATATGTCTAAAGTTTGTTATAACTCCACTGTTCAAAGTTGGAAGGCAAACATTTGGCCACTATTCAGCCAAGTCATTAGGTGAAGCATAACCCAGTGACATGTACACTATCTTGAACAGCAGCAACATTCTTAGCAATGGATGGTCAGTGGCGGGTACATTGGTCGAGGGGATCCTGAGGGACAGCATTTACATGCATTTGAAAAGGCAAGGTCCAATTAGGGATAGTCAATATGGCTTTGTGCATGGGAAATTGTGTCTCACTAACTTGACTGAATTTTTTGAAGAGGTGACAAAGAAGATTGACGAAGGCAAAGCGGTAGATGTTGTCTATATGGACTTTAGCAAAGCATTTGACAAGGGTCCACATGAGGTTGTAGACTTGCTTGCCAAGCCGGTGAGTTTGATTGCAGACGTTTCGTCACCCTACTAGGTAAAATTGTCAGTGCGCCTCCAGTGAAGCACTGGTCTTCCGTCCCGCTTGTTAGTTATATGCCTCGGTTGGCTGGGGAGGTTGGCATCACTTCTGGTTCTGTTTTTCACTGGTTTGTATATTGGATCCAGTTCAATGTGTTTGTTGATGAAGTTCCAGTTGGAATGCCAGGCCTCCAGGAATTCCTTGGCCTACCCAGTTGAATTCATGTCCTACTTTGTCCACGTGTGCTTAGACCAGTGAGAATTGGCTGTGTCTCTTGGTGGCTCATTGGTGTTTGTGTATCCTAATTGTCAGTTTTCTTCCAGTTTGGCTGATGTGATATTTCTCACAGCCCTTGCATGGTATTTTGTATATTACATTAGTTTTATTAGTTGTGGGTATGGGATCCTATATGTTTGACAGTAGCTGTCGCAGGGTGGTTGTTGGTTTGTGGCCTACCCCGACACCTAGGGATCGGAGCAATCTTGTGGTCATCTCTGATGGGTCTCTGATGTACAGTAGGTAGACTAGTGTGTCTGGCCGTATTGTGTCTTCTTGTTGTTGTCTGCCGTGGAGCTAACAGCGGATTGTGCTTTTTGGGTATCCATTCCTGTTAAAAACTCCGCATAAACGCTCCTGTTCTGCTTTGCGCAATTCAGGCTTGTGGTGCAGTGTGTTGTGGCACATTTGACTAATGTCCTAGCACAATTCCGTTTATGGGTGTTGAGGCTGTTGCTAGTGTAATTAAGTATCTGGTCCATACATGTGGTCTTTCTGTATACACTAGTCTGGAGTTCCCAGTTGTTCTTATGTTCCACCACTATGTCTAGGAAAGGTAGTCAGTTATTGTTCTCTTCTTCTTTTGTGAATTATATTTTTGTGAGGATGCTGTTTATGTGTGGGTAGGTTTCTTCTAGTCTTGTGCTTTTGATAATCAGGAAGGTGTCAACTACATAGCGGATCCAAGTTCAGATTGTATAGTGGGGGGTGCTGTCCATTCTAACCTTGCATTAGCGCTTCTTCAAACAGTCCTGATATTGGGGATCCCATTGGTGTTCCATTGGTTTGTTTGTATATACAGTCGTTAAAGGTGAACTGGGTTGTGAGGCACGGATCCAGCAGTTTCAGGGTGCTGTCCTTGTTGATGCTGTTGCAATCTGCCTTCCTGATTCATCCAGCAGCGTGGCAATTGTCTCTTTGGCTAGGTCGATGTTTATGGATGTAAATAGTGTTGTTACATCGAAGGATATCATTATCTCGTCCTCTTCTATTCTGGTGTCCTTGATAATATTGAGGAATTCTTGGGAGGAGTGGATGGAGTGGGTGGTGTTGTCTACTAACTATTTCAGTTTCCATTGTAGTTCTTTGGCTAGTCTATATGTTGGCATGCCTGGTAGTGAGACAATGGGTCTGAGGGATCTCCTGGCTTGTGTACCTGAGGGAGTCCATAGAAATGGGGTGTGTTGGAACCCTCTGGCTTCATTTCTTGGTAGTCTATCTTGCTGATATCTCCTGAGTTGTGTAATTTCTTCAGGGCTGTTGTGATCTGGTTCTCTAATAATGGCGTTGCGTCTATCACCATCTGTTGGCAGGTGTCAGTATCTGCTAGTAGTGCATTAGCTTTCTCGATGTATTGGGCTCTATTAAGGATTACTATCATGCGTCCTTTGTCTGCCGCGAAGATTTCGATGTTTTTGTCTTTCTTGAGTGTTTCCAGAGCTTTCTTTTTTCTTCTCTGTGTTCACAGAAAGCCTTTTGTCATCAAGTTGGAGATTTGGCCACTGGAAGAGAGTTATATTTGCAGGCTTGTGTTTTTTTAAAAATAAGAAATGATCCAAATGTTTTAAGACCATACATTTTCTAATTTTACATTGATTACCCCAAGAAAATGCATTTTTAGTGTATTACCTACATAGAAAAATCAATATAAATGATGTCAGGTTCTGATTGGTAGAAACAGATGATTCCTGAATTGTTAGAAAAAAAATTGCTAATAATTACTCATATAAATAATCTAAGGAACAAGACTCCAAATCCTAAATTAGCTCAAAAGGATGAATCCAAACTTCAACTTTTCATGTATGTAATGAAACAAACCCATTCGCTATACAGATAAATAACATAAATTCCAATGTAGGTCATGACAACAACTTGCATTTCTTTGGCACCTTTAATACAGTAAAACATTCCAAGGCACTTCACATGAGCGCAGTCACAAAAGGGGACATTAGTGCACTGGTCACAGAGGTAGGTTTTAAAAACACAACAAACACTTAAAACACAGAAAAGAAGAAAAATTTAGGGAAGAAAGTCCTGAGCTTATGGCCAAGACTGCTGAAGGTAAGGCCACCAAACGCTGGAACAAAGGAAGTTATTACTCATTCATTAAATATAGCAATTACTGCCCATCACTAATTGCTCTGCAGCTGAGTAACTTGCTAGGCCATTTCAAAGGGCAGTTGAGAATCACAGTATTGCTTTGGGTCTGGAGTTACATGTAGGTCAAACCAGGTACGGATGGCAGATTTTCTTCTTAAAACTCATTAGTGAACCAGATGGGTTTTTAACAACAATCAACAATGATTGTGACTGAACAACCAATCTAGCTTTTAACTCAGATTTTTACTGAATTCAAATTTCACCATCTGCCATGTTATAATTCAAACCCATGCCCCCAGAACATTAGCCTGAGGTTCTGGTTTACTAGTCTAGTGACATTACCACAGCGTCACCAAATTTAGAACACTAAAGAGTGATAAAGGAGTAGAAATGATTTCAATACACTGAAGTGAACTGTCGTGCTGACTGGTCCAGCTAACTCAACAAAAATGGAGGGTAATGTTTAGTAATCATAGCTCAACACCATCTGTTGTGACGTGTTAACACATCAAACTATTGACTACAAAGTGCTGCTTTTACAATGGTGCTTACCTAAGCTGGTCCAATATCTGATTTATCCCTTCTGGAATTATAAATCCTGAAATAGTATAAAGGCAAGCTTTATCCAGTACGGTGCTGGGCCAAGGGCAGCAGTAGGTCGAGAGAAAGCTGTCTGCTTGATTATTGCTATTGATAAATAAAAATGGAAACTTTGATTAAAACACACATTGGACACCATTACATTTTAATCATCCCAAGGCCTTTACAAAGAACACTGATGAACTAGGGGTCTCATATCAATTTGCTCATTTCTTCATTGAATAAACTTCCACGAAGATGATGAATCCATTAAGCAGAGTAGGTCTCTAAATAAATATAAAATCTCATCTGTAACACATGTGCATTACATTTCAATGTTTAAGAACTGTTGAGAGAAATGGGTCAGTCACTTCCTGCCATTTTCTTGCCTTGCCTCACCCAAGAAGTAGGAGTTGAAAAGTGACAAGCACCTATCATTCTACTGAAACTACATTCAGATACTCAACACAGGGTGTGTCTTTTGGAACCATTTCCCAGGGAGTACTTGAGCAGTGGTCTGAAGGTTTTAGATCTGGTCAGGTATAGCTCCACCTTCAAACGTCAGAGTATCCGTCACCATAGTGCAGATCAGCCAATACTGTCCATTAGACCACTGTAGTATGGCATCAAAAAACAACTGATTGCAATCTCATGCATCAAACCAGCTTTACCGTAAGACAGTGCAGAGTGACAAAGAACTGCATAGTCACAGCTAAGTTACTCTTGCATTTTTTCAGGTGGATGGGAACAATGGGTTATGAAGATGGTAATTTTAAAAAAAGTAACTTGCACTTGTATAATTTCTATATGTTAAGCTATTTGTCAATCAAAAATAAGGAGAGATAATTTTGATCATTACCCAGTAAATGTTTCCTATGAAATATTCATCTTTTGCACATTTGGCAGATCTTCCAGGATAGTTAGATCGTAAAAAAAAACTGATTTCCATCTGATTCAAGAGAGGAAGGCTAGAAAGAGTATGTGTGAAGAGGTTAGTGGATGGATTGACATTTGCAAAACCTAAGCAGTCAATGAGCGGGCCTCATTTCAATAATTCAGCACTGCCAGTCCTGTTGTGCCTCCACAACCATTAAAAACGTTACACATTGAGATGCCTGCCTTGCCAAAAATGACTCAAAAACCACTTCTAGGTGTGGAGTCGGGAGCAGAGAGGGATGGGTTGTGGGTGATGCATTCCAGTCTCTGTGGTGTGAAGGCCTCAAGTACACTCTCCAGAGCAGCCAGACATAGATGTAACCGTAGAAGATCTAGGCAGAGTTCAGGTCAGAATTAGGAACTAAAGGTTCTATTAGTTATTAGCCTTGGGATTTGGAACAAATTTTATAATCCTGCCCCCTACTTTACTGCTATAGTTTCTCATTTATATTACCGAATACACACACTAATGTGTAGTAATACCCTGTCAACAAAGAGTGGCTGAACTCAATACTAAAATGTAGCTGTATGCGATTGAGTTTCCAGTGGCTTAGCAAACAGCAGATCAACTTTTTCTGTAGATGAAAAAGACTTAAGTCAAGCCTAAGGAAGAATTTAAGGACTCAGGCACTGTGTGATATCACATCTGTAACAGGTTTATACGTAATCACCATATTGTATGATTCCAGTTTTGTTCAGATCACACACCACTAAAGTTGCTGAGAAAGAGCAAAATGCCGAATAAATACTGTTTTACAAAGGTAATGTTGCACAGCTACAATGGTTCCTCTACGACAGAATACAACATGACAAGGATTTATTTTTCTCGGAAGTACAAAAGGAAGTATCCAGAAATCATAAAGAAAGTTTTGCACATTTAAACTCACCAATCAATATCACTGAAGACTGCACCAAGCCAGTCAAGAAATTCCTCAGAGCTGCAGGATTCATTGTCCTTCCCTTTCAATTCGTTACCCAGCAGCACAGGGCTGTCAATGTCTTTTAATATCCTGGTTGACACAATAGGCTGGTAAACCTTGCATTCATATTCCTTGAAGTAAGACACCAAATTGGCTTCTTGTCCACCTTGGTTTGATATTTAAAAACATAAACACAGGAACTGTACTGTAAATTACAGGCATCCCTCATTTAAAGCATGTTCTAATAGCACAGTTTTGTTTTAATATAGTTAGTAAATTAGGGACATTCCCCTAATAGTGGGCCTTCATTTTATTCCCAGCATGACCACTGAACACGCTTAATCACTTAAAAAAAAATCACTTCCCTCTCCCAACCTACCATCCTTCCCATTTGCCAACCTTCCCAAACCCTTCTAATGGACACCACCTTATCCAACCCTCCTGCTCTGACCTTTCTCCCTTGAGCTTACTACCACCTTCCTCCTGTCCCTCCCACTTGCTATTCCTCTTGTTCACCTCCTTTCCCATTTGCCTCCATCTCCCACTCCCCTCACAAACTTCAGCTCTCTCCTTCAATCTCCTACTCACTAGTTGCCTCCAGCTCACCATTCTACTCCCACCCTCCAGTTTGCTGCCTCCCTCCTAAACCTCTTGTTCACTGCTTCCCTCTGATGCCTCCTCCTGTTTACTGTCCCTCTCAATCTCCAACCTTCCCTTTCACTGCTTCCCTCCTTAATGCTCCCATTCACCAAGCCTCCTGGGCGCTGATTCTTCTGTTGCGCAAGCCCTTCCCCAATCGCTCTACACCTTTCCTCACACTTGCAGCCTGTCATGTGCCCTTGCTGGGTCCCTCCTTCTTGATTCCTCACTCAGGATTTGGCATAGGGAAGACGCAAGCAGCAGGGAGCAGCAGAGGAAAGGTAATGAAGCAGGAGGATTAGGGAACGAAATGATAATTGGGACAGGCAGCAAGCAGGAGAGACAGGAGGTAAAAGGTAAGAAGTAAGATTTAACAAGAGGTTTTTCAGGCTAATAACATTCAAGGCTTTTAATATAAAAAAGTTACATCTCAGGATTGTAACAAACCTTTTTAACATAGTTTCTTATGAGAAAGTTATTTTAATTTAGCACAAATTTTTAGGAACACTTTATACAAACAAGGGATAGTAGCATTAAGAGCAAGGTGCAGTAAACATTGTAATTAATGCAAATTCTTGCATTTTTATGGCACATTTTGCAGGAGTATCAATAGGAGGTTGTGGCATATAAGAGTTGAACACAAGGATAGTAGCGTATGCTATTAACTTATTACCTATCAACTAAAGCATGATTGTGGTAGTCTCCACCGGCACCTGGTCACCAGGTCTCAGTCGCACATGATCTGACATCATCATTAGAATATCCTTTATTGTCATGACATAGCCCTTACTGTTAGGAAGAATACCTGGAGTGATTTCTTTAAATGAGTTCATTGAAAGGTCATGGTGGATAATAGGGATTTCTTTTCAACAAGACATTTAGAAATCACATAACTAGCGATAACTGCTTCCTTTACTATAGGCCCCAATCCTGGCTGTTTGAACAGTGACTGGCTTGAAAGCCCTCTAGTTGGGTTCAGGTATTTATTCTTCTGAAATAGTGACTGAAGGAGCAAGCAATGTCTGAAAGACTCCATAGGCAACAGTGCATGATTAGTACCTTGACCACATGTGTCTGAACATCAGACTTCAGAATATCCTAGGCTTTATCCTTTCGTCTTAAAGAATAATCCATTCAAAGTGCTTTTCTCCCCCCAAGAAAGCCAACTTCTGCAGAAATCTGTTATATTTTTCACTTTTTCTGAAGAGTGTGTATATTTGTTTTGATATTCTTAGAGGGGTAAACATTTATTATTCTATATTACTGACTCTCTGTTATTGCACCTTCATTGAGTAAGTTTTGTCTTGTTAATAAACCAATAATTGTATTTATTAAGGAAACTTGGTTAAGAGGTCTTTTTACTTGAAAGCTGATGTAGTTACCCTGGTGACTGGTAAAGATATTTTACTTCAATATTGTGACCGGTGGAGTAGTGGGGCTAAAGCAATATTGTACTCCTCTAGACTCTGAAGCAACATGCTCAGTAGCTATCAGGTTATTGGCATAGTTAATTCTTTACTCCATACTTTGTCACATGAAAAAATACCCTAAGATACTTCAAAATTAGGAAGAACAAAGGCCATGCCATACCAAAGAAGACAGCGGTTCAGCTTAGTCAAACATGCAAATCATGAATAAGTGCTGACAAGCTATGAGAAGGGGATAGATTTGGATAGCAAGCACAGAAGTGGCCTTTGGGATGGAAAGGATCTTGGATCTGCAACCCAACTCAGGATAACAATAATTTTAAAAGTCTGATTCAACCTAAAATAGTGCCCAGACAGAAGACAGAATCAGTCATAAGGAAGCAGACATTTGACTGCTGCCAGCTTTGATGTTTTAATGCTGATCTTGAGAAATTTACAGCTCATCAATACCGAATGTTGAGCAACCAGTCTGCCAACAGAGTGTTTGACAGAAGCAATGTCATGCAATTGGAAGCCAAGCCTCTGACTTTGAGTGGTGCCTCAAAGGTAGCATGATGATGAGGAATAAAGGGGGAGAAGAATAAATCCTTGGGATACTGTTGGACATGTTAGTCTGAGGTTAGAAGAGAAGACATTGCTCGGAGTGTGCTATCTATATTCAGAGAGGTAGAATTATGTGTCTAGATTATGTGGTCAATTCCAGGACCAAGGACGAGCACATAACTTTCTGATTTGAAGACAAGAATGTTAGGAGGCCCACACGAAAACTGTTGTTATGCATAATGGAATATTATTATCGTAGCAAGTGTATACCACATATGACATGTTGAACTTTTCGCTATATTATTTTTGAAGTAAGGTTTCAAGCATAGCCAGATTACATTTGAGGTCAAATCAAAAAAAAAGTTTTCTCTTAATTACATTTTATTAACTTCTTACCTGAGGAATGCCACTTCATCAAAAAGTCAAATTTTAAAGGTTTTTTTTCTTTCAATGCCCACATTACACGGTTATATCTTTTTTCACCAGGAACAAAAGTAGCATCACGAATGTGGACAGTAATATCTGAAAACATGACATGACATCATGAAACCCAAAACTGAACTGACTTTAGGGTGATATGCATCACAAGGTTACAAAGCAAATTCTGCTTTTTGTAGGAAGCATGATGATAATTCACTCAGAGGCAGATACTAAAGACTGAGAAATTTTAATTACTATTGTTGAGAGAGAATAATTGTATTACTGCTAGACCTGTCATTTTTAACTCATACTGCGTGTCTAGTACCTGGGGGCATCAGAAATCGTTCTGTCACATAAATGGTTGAGTTTAAACTAAATCTGGAAGGAATCTGCACAGAATGTACTAATGAAGAATCAAGAGAAACAACGGAGATTTCTTGGGTACTGGTGAGGTGGCAGTACATATCAACAACTTGGTCAATTTCCAATCAATTAACTGATGTCAGCATTGTTGAGTTGGGTGGTGGACGCATGAAACAGCCAAAGTTCCCATTCCTGATCATTAACCAGCAATACTTCTTGCATAGTGCATGGGAATAACATTATGAGAAAAGGACCGAACTATACCTTGACACCACTAAGCATAGTCAACAGTCTAATAATACTCACAGTTCAGGCACGAAGGTTAAGAATGGTCATTTGGCAGATGGTGCCAGATGATTTTTAATATATAAAAAGGATGGTCCTTTGCTAAGGTGTTTGCATTGGGACCATGGCTTAATAGAAATCAGCAGCCTCCCAGTAGACACCAAAATGGTGAATCTTTTTGCACGAGTCCAGGTAGCAACTTTCAGCAAGCAGCAAGATGAAGAATATGACCCCCTAATTTCCCAAATCACGACTTTCACATGCACAATAATCAAAAGGGGGAAATAAGAGCTGATTTCTTTTTCCCCTCTGTACAAAGGCAAACACTATCTCCACTGTCTTCACAGCAAAATTAGTAATAACTGACAATTAACCATTGTGAACCTACACACATAATTCTGATAACTGCAAATAGAAACAGACTAGTTCAGGAGTGCACATTTTCACCATTGGTTAATGTTTGTGCTTTTCCTGATAACATGCAATTACCCCAAGTTCACAAGAGGGTAGGGTACCCATCGTTGCATCACAGCGTTATTTTTAATCACTCGTACATCAGTCAATGGCAGCAAACAAGCATGTCAAACAACCCATTTACACTGCAAACTAAGCTGTCAGAAACCCATTTCACATTGAACTCCTAATAGTGGCAGACAGAAGAACTCAAAAGACTACACTCAAAACATCTCCCAGAGATGCCTCTCCTACTATGCCTCAAATGTATACATTATTCTGCGCCACTAAATGGGTTTAATGAGCCCTTTACATTTGTTTTGTGTCTTTTCAGTGTGTTAATATTTATTGAATTACATTAAAGTCAAACAAAACCAGAACAAAAGTTTCAATAAGTTTGTAACGTCCATCACGGCAAGAAATTCTCCTGAGCCTGGAATCTTATAATAGCTTGCACTTACTGTATCTCATTGCTGCCTTATGTGAATACATAGATGGCTTTCCTTCCAGGCCAAGCTCTTCATAAGTATCCTTGTCAACTGATAAAATTAGCTTTCCTATGAAAACCAATAGCTATGAGTTAGAAACTCCTTCAATGAAGGATCTAAGATCCATTCATAAATATTTGTGCACTATTAGAAAGATTAAGCTCACAATAATTTTTAAAAGCAAGCGACAATCATTTCAAAAATAACATTCTTCCAGAATTGTTTTTTTAACTCAGACTCCAAAGTCATCCCAAAGATAGTCACTCTTCTGAACATCACCACACATATTTCTAGATTTGTGATAAATACTTGGTTTTTCAACTAATAAACACTGATTTTGTTTTAAAGGAAATCTTTACTGTTCTGAAACAGTGTGGAAATTTAAGTATTTTCTAACAAGTCCTGCGTTCCCTCATTAATAGTGGGCTGAGGAAAGAACCTGCTTTGCCTTGTTTATCAAGGAAAATTTGAAGAAAATAACCTCTGAAAAAATGCTTTCCAGAATTTCCCTGCATAGGTCTTAAATATAATACAGTCACTAATAAATCTAGTAAGTAATTTAGAAAAAAACCCAGAGAGTGGGAGCAATGGTGAGAATATGAAACTTTCTGTAACAAGGAGTTGTTGAGTTACCTCACATAAATTCACAGAAGGGAAAGCCAAATAATTACATGAGGGAGATAGGAATAGCATGATATGCTGATAGACTACTTGATACAGGGAGTGGAACAGGCTCATGTGGAACATAAAATACTGGTGTAGACCCTGGTGGTATCACTCCACATTCTGGTATTAAAATTGAGACCTGCAATAAAACACTTAAACAGCTAAGAAAAGGAAGTTTGGTAAGAAAAGCTTTTCATTATTTGTATTCTTTCTAAAGCAAAAAGTAAAGTTGCCATCGTCTCAGGGGACCATAGGGCTGTTCTATCATTAGGGATAGGTGACTGACGATGAGTTTAACTTGAGGGTCACCAAACCTCAGACGAGGGGCAAGGTTCAGAAGGCGGGACCTACATGGTAACCGCAAAGGCATTGGAATAATTACTCCGTATCTGTGCTGTAAATTCTATGCATTTTTAATTGCAATTTATAAGTTATAAATTTATAATTTTCCCACATGTGCACACCTTTGCTCGTACTGTTTGACAAAAAAATTTACATCAAAAAAAAGTAAATTAAAGTTATTGTGTTTTATATTTGAAACAATATTGGCATTATAAACTCCAACAAAATTAGAAACACAAATTTGTTTATTCTAGAAAAGCAAACAACGTTTTGACAAGGTAACAAATAGGTCAGAAACTTGGATGCTGATTTAGACAAAAGGTATTTTACCTATTGGCAGTAATGCAATACAGTTGTCTTGATCTATTCTGGTGTTGTATGAAAGCACATAAAGAAAGCCTGGAACAAACAATTTGAAATTAAGTGACTTGCATTGCTAGCAAAATAAAGAAATAAATGCATTTCATAAATTACAGATATAACATTACCTTGCTTCACAAATTTGTTGATGAAGTCAGGTTCAAGCATTCGATGAATTGGCAACTGCTCTACCAAATAATACTCTCCTAAATTTCTGCAGGCAGCAGTGACTCTTGGTGGTATCACGCCACATTCTGGTATCAAAATTGAGACCTGCAAGATAATATTTAAACAGCTATAAAAGAAGTTCAACAAAACAAAAAGATTTGCAATCCATCAATGTGGGTAATATTTTCATAAGGTAAAAGTAAAGTTGCCATAGTCTCAGAGGGCCACAGGGTTGCTTTCTCATTAGAGGGAGATGACTGATGGTGAGTTTAACCTTAGGGTCACCATGCTTCAGGTGAGGTGCAAGGCTAAGAAGGCACGATCAAATGGTAACCTCAGCCAGTGTGGGAATTGAACCCTTATTGTGTCATTCTGCATCGCAAACCAGCCATCTAGCCAGCTGAGCTTACCATGAAGGACTCTCTTTTTCAACCTCTTCCCCTCACCTCAGGTGTGGTGACCCCCAGGTTAAACCACCACCAGTCATCTCTCTCTAATGACACAGCAGTCCTATCATCCATTTGGACTATGGCGCCTTTACCTTTTAAAAACTACAACAGTTGGCCATCAACCATAATAGCTTAGTGAAGATATTCACCTCTAAAATAAACAAAACCCTAAAAAAAATTTACACGAGGTTTGTCATTGCTTTCATATCAAAATCGTTGACTGTAAAAGCAAGACACTCAATGCAGCCGACTTAGCAACTGTGTTACAACAGACACTGGAACCCTCATTGAACAGGTGTTACACTGGAGCCTCTAATGATGTTGCTAAGTAATTCCCACTGGGGGCACTTACTATTCAATTGCCACCTTTAACTTTGTCATTTCTGAACATCAAAAACACACAAACATGAAAAAATGCACGAACACAATGCCATTTTCATTTACTGTGAATTTAACAGCTGATGGAAGTGGTTCTGAAATTGTAAAACAGCACAAGCATTCCAGCCCCGATTGCCCATTTCTTGTACTGCTCCATTATGTTAAAAAAGTGGTATATAAATACAAATTCACTTGTTGCTGTTGCAGCCTTCAATATTATGGCACTAACAGAAAAGAGAGAAACAGAGTTCCTATTTCGGGTCAAAGATATTTCTTTGGAGCCTCGCTGGTCCAGACAGCCTGGACTCTTGACTACATAAAAAGGTTTAAAATAATCACAAAACCATACAGGAGACAATCCAAGTGAAGCATTGTTGGTAACTAACTAAAACACAATGGGCAGCTCAATTTTTTCTACCACTTACCCGATGAGTTATTAATCGTACCACTGTCAAACACAGATGTGGGCAGTTATAGACTTAAAGTTATAGAGTTATACAGCACTGAAACAGACCCTTTAGTCCATGCCGACCATAATCCCAACTAAACTAGTCCCACCTGCCTGCGCTTGGCCCATATCCCTCCAAACCTTTCTTATTCACATACTTATCTAAATATTTCTTAAACGTAACTATACCCACATCCACAACCTCCTCTGGAAGTTCATTTAACAACGAACCACTCTCTGTGTAAAAAAATTGCACCTCATGTCTTTTTTAAATCCTTCTCCTCTCATCTTAAAAATATGCCCCGGTCCTGAAATCCCCCACCCTATGGAAAAGACACCTGCTATTCCCCTTATCTATTCCCCTCATGATCTTATAAAACTCTGTAAAGGTCACCTCTCAACTTATACGCTCCAGCGAGAAATGTCCCAACGTATCTAGCCTCTCCTTACAACTCAAACCCTCCATTCCCAGCAACATTCTGGTAAATCTCTTTGGAACCCTCTCCAGCTTAATAATATCCTTCCTATAACAGGGAGACCTGAACTGAACACAGTATTCTAGAAGAGCCTTCACCAACATCCTGTACAACCTCAACATAACATCACAACTCCTATACTCACAGATCTGAGCAATGAATGCAAGCGTGCTAAATGCCTTCTCAACCACCCTATCTATATGTGACGCAAACTTCTGTACCTGAACTCCTAGGTTTCTCTGCCCAAGGCCCTGTTTTAATTGTATAAGTTTTGTCTTTGTTTGTTTTACCAAAATACAATACCACGCATTTATCCAAATTAAACCCCATTTGCCACTCTTCTGCCCATCGACTCAATTGATCAAAATCTCTTTGTAATCTTAGATAGCCTTCTTCACTGTCGACTATACCACCAATCTTGGTTTCATCTGCAACTTACTAGCTGTGCTTTCTATATTGTCATTTAAATGATTTATATAAATGATAAACAAAAGTGGACCTAGCACCTATGTTCCTGTTAGAATAAAAGGGAAAGTAATGAGTTCTCCGCTCCCTGTCAATCACCCACCTGGTAGTCATGGCGATCAGACTCCGCCCCCTGGCAATCACCCATCAGATAAACATGGCGATTAGACCCCGCCCCCTGTCAATCATCCATCAGATAAGCATAACGATTAGTCTCCGCTCTCCGTCAATCACCAATCAAATAAGCATGACGATTAGTCTCCGCCCCCTGTCAATCACCCATCAGGGAAACATGACGATTAGTCTCCGCCCCCTGTCAATCACCCACCAGGTAGTTATAAAGTTTCCGTGCCCCTATCAATCACCCACCTGGTAGTTATAGTGATGAGCCTGCACGTGTTTATGGTGTTTTGATTTACTGTGCCTGAAGTTGGATCTTTCACTAACCACTAGGTGCCGCGCGCATTTCTCCACGTTGTTCAGCATCTTCCCAAGCTGGGCTGCAACTCCTCGCGCCGTCCGCGAGGGCCGTTTACCGCTTCTCCCCTCAGCGACAGCTGCGCGCGCCAATTAACGGCTTTCCCCCCTCAGCTTCTTCCCGCCGTCCTCGAGCTCTGGCGTTCCCTTTGGCGCCTCTGTCCTAAACTATCTTGGAGAGGAGGGCAGAGTTCGACTGCACCCTCTGCTGGTTGGAGGCCAAGGTGGAAGAAGAGCCGCGTTTGAACATTCAGGGCTTGTGTCAAGTCAACACTCGAATTCCCAAAGTAAGAATAGAACCTTTTCATGATGAGTGGCGTGAGCCCTGTTTTTCTTAAACGATTTAGAACCCCTTCATTTTCCAGCATGGTTATTGGTAGCAATCAGGACAAGGCACCAAGGTAATAGCCCAATTTTAGTCAAATGTATTCCCCAAGATTCAATCTATTCTGCCTCCAGTCAGCTAACAGCTCCATCCTCCAGGCCTTCCCCTTTCTCTTCACTACCCAGTCGAATGATTCTCGACTGTCAGGACAAAGAGCCATTTGTTTCCCACCACCAATGTTTTTCTGACTCGTAAACAGAGGTGCCCATGAAAAGATTGCCCACAGCCATGTCCTGGGGATGAATCTTCAGTTAGAAACGGGCGTGCTCCAGCATTTAATACAATTCAAACACTTTTCTGTCTTTCACCCACAGACTATTCTCAAAATCCTTCGCACCCCCGGTAGTTAGAAATCTATCAATCTCTACCTTAACCATAGTCAAAGACTGAGCTTCCACAGCCCTCTGGCATCAAAAAATTCCAAAAACAATCAATCACGGGGCAACACGTTGGCTCAGTGGTTAGCACTGCTGCCTCACAGCGCCAGGGTCCCGGGTTCAATTCCACCCTCAGGCGACTGTCTGTGTGGGTTTCCTCCAGGTGCTCAGGTTTCCTCCCACAGTCCAAAGATGTGCAGGCTAGGTGGATTGGCCATGCTAAATCGCCCATGGTGTTCAGGGATGTGTAAATTAGGTGCGTTATAGGGTGATGGGTCTGGTTGGGATACTGTTTGGAGGGGTGGTGTGGATGTGTTGGGCTGAATGGCCTGTTTCCATACGGTAGGGATTCTATTGAACCATCTGAATAGAGTCATAGAGATGTACAGCACAGAAATAGATCCTTGTCTATGCCAACCAGATATCCTAAATTAATCTAGTATCATTTGCCTACTCACCCCATCTATGCCCCTCATGATTTTTTAAACCTCTATAAAGGTCACCTCTCAGCCTCCAACACTCCAGGGAAAATAGCCCTAGTCTATTCAGCCTTTCCATTTAGCTCAAACCCTCCAACCCTGGCAACATCCTTGTAAATCTTTTCTGAACTGTTTCAAGTTTTCCAACATCTTTCCTATAGTAGAGAGACCAGAACTGAATGCAGTATTCCAAAAGTGGCCTAACCAATGTCCTGTACAGCCGCAACATGATCTCCCAACTCCTATACTCAAAGCACTGACCAGTAAAGGCAAGCAAAGTTCTGAGGAAGGGTCACCGGCCCCGAAACATTCACTCTGATTTTTTTCTTCACAGATACTGCCAGACCTGCTGAGCTTTTCCAGCAACTTTTGTTTTTGTTCCTGATTTACAGCATCCACAGTTCTTTCAGTTTTTATACCATACACCTTCCTTACTATCCTGTCTACCTGTGACTCTACTTTCAAGGAACTATGAACTTGCACTCCAAGGTCTCTTTGTTCAGTAATGCCCTCCAGGACCTTACCATTAAGTGTGTAAGTCCTGCCCTGATTTGCCTTTCCAAATGCAGCCCACATTTGTCTAAATTAAACTCCATCTACCATTCCTCCACCTATTTATCTGTCTGATTTGTCTCCTTTGTACTCTGAGGTAATCTTCTTCGCTGTCCACTACACCTCCAATGTTGGTGTCATCTGCAAACTTTCTAACAATACCTCCTACGTTCACATCCAAATCATTTGTATAAATGGCGAAAAGCAGTGGACCCAGCACCGATTCTTGTGGAACACTGCTGGTCATAGGCCTCCAGTCTGAATTGCAACCCTCCACCACCATTCTCTGTCTTCTACTTTTGAGCCAGTTCTGTATCCAAACTGCTAGTTTTCCCTCTATGCCATGTGATCTAACCTTGCTAACCGGTCTACCATGAGGAATCTCATTGAACACCTTACTGAATCCATATAGATCATGTCCACCGCTCTGCCTTCATTAGTCCTCTTTGTGACATCTACAAAAACTCAATTAAGTTAGTGAGACATGATTTCCCATGCTCAAAGTCATGTGGACTATCCCTAATCAGTCCTTGCCTTTCCAAATACATGTAAATCCTGTCTCTCAGGATCCTCTACAACACCTGCCCACCACTGATGTCTGGCTCACCGGTCTATAGTTCCTTGGCTTTTCCTTACCACCTTTCTTAAATAATAAAAGAATTCCCCTCATCTCAGTCCCAGATGATATCCTCCTTATTTTTATATTTCGCCCCTTGTTTCTGGAGTCCCCAACCAGGGGAAACATCTTACCTTCTTCTACCCTATCCATATCTTAAAATATTTTGTAGGTTTCAATGAAAGAACCTCTCATTCTTCAAGACTATTGAGAATACAAGCCCAGTTTGCCCAATCTCTCAAAATAGGACTGTCCAGCCATCCTGGTGAATTTCATTGCACTTCCTCTGTGGCAACAATAAGTAAAGAGGCAAAGAGACCAACACTGCACATGATTCTCCAGGAATGATCTAATTAAGTTTCTATACATTTGAAGCAAGATGTCACTGCTGCTGCTCTCAAATCTTTATGATAAGGACTAACATTCCATTCACTTTCCTACTGACTTACTGTGTCTGCATGATAGCCTTCGGTGACATGTTTTTCCACATTATATTCCATTTGCTATGTTCTTCTTGACCACTCTCTAAACCTGTCCAAATGCTCCTGAGATAGTAGGAACTGCAGATGCTGGAGAATTGGAGATAACAAGGTGTAGAGCTGGATGAACACAGCAGACCATGCAGCA